TCATGAACATGTTTCTCCAGCTTAGGCCTTCTTTCTCACGTGCTCTCTTGCCTGTGCAGCATCACCGTATATAGCCTTGAAACAGCTGCATCTTCCAGCCCAGAGGTAGCTTCTGGTCAAAGCCAAGGGAAGCAACTTGTTTATAGTTTGTAAAATGCTTTGGGGGCTTTGCTGGGTGGGAACGTGCTATTGGCTGTCACAGCTGCTTTATAAGGCTTTGCCTCTTGCCCTACATCTTATGTTCAGGATTATTGGTCCCTACTTGCGTAAGCCAGGACTTATCCACATTCAGCCTCATTTGATTAGTTCCAGGCCTCTTTGCTAGCATCTCTTGATCCCTGCTGCATGTATTTCTGCACTTCCCTTGGCTCAACCACCCCTCAAGACTTAGCATTGCCTTACAAACGTTGCTAGTTGGGTTGTCTGCCGTTTTGTCCAGGGAGTTAGCAAAAGTCACCTAAGCAAACTGGTACGTGCTACCCATCCCAGGGCGACCCCGCTGGGCACCTCTCCCCTCAAAATGGCCTACGAAGCCTAACTAATTACCTTCCTTTCCCTATTCAGTAGCTGACTTTTGATCCATGTAATCATATTTCTGTCCAAACTGGCTTGATTTAATTTCCCCTGTAAGATATCCGGTGGCTGTGTGGATATGATGCCTTGTTGAAACCCGGATATATTATATTTGCCATGTCCCCTTTGCTTGCATTTGTGTATTACCACTAAACAGAAAAACCCTTTGTCTAGCTATGCTTCTGCCTAAGTGGATCCACATTGTTTATATGTTTCCCCTTCAAATATTAGCTTCATAACTTCTAGCAAAGGATGCAAGTTAATGAAACACCAACAACCCACTCATCCAGGGGTCAGCAAGCTACAGCCCACAGGCCAGATCCAGCCTGCCAAGCAGTTTCATCTGGCCCGTGAAGCCTGGACAGCATTTCGGTGGTGGGGGGACACAGCAGCAGGAGAAGCAGTTGGGTGCCTCGGACCGGGGAGGTTTATTTCAGCTCACCGCTCCTAAAAGGCGGCTGACCCCTACACCAGCCAGTGCCAAAAAAGGCCTTCCTGTGTTTCTCAGCTTGGATTTTCAAAAGCACGTCATGATTTTGGGGGGCTCAACATGACGTGTTCAAAAGAGGGGCCGGGTATGTAGTGCTGTCAGATAATCAAGCCCATTCAAGCTCTTTCAGGCTGGAGGCCCCATGTCATTGCTTCAGATATATTAGGTCTGCACCACATCACAACTGGGATGTGGACCTGAGGTCCTGCTGCTTGTGGCTCGTAAGAGACGTTCGTCCTGCCTTGCTGGGATGGAAAGCCCTTCCCCTGGAGCTGCTGGGTGCTGTGTGCTAGTAGTGTTGTTTGAGCCACGGGGGAACAAGGTACAGAGAGGGGAAGTGACTTATCCTTGGAGTTGGGGGCAGAGCAAAGATCAGGACCAAGGGACTTCGTTCTCATTTGCTATTCATGTTCTGGAGGGGCTGACAGTGAAATCAGAAGCTCTGGATAACGCCTGCTTCAGTCACCCAGTTAATGAGGGCCCTAAACTTCTGTGAATGTGTGACTCTACAGCAGGTTTTTCCATCCAGAAAGGTCCCAAACCATCTGAACATAACAGAAGCAGCTAAGAAGGGAGGCAGTATCAAAATTGGGTGCAGAATGGGAACTGCTTCTCACACTCCCTTTGGATTAGAGAGAGCGATTCATGCCCCACGAAAAGGCAAAAATAGGCAGCTGCTTAGGGACACACGGTTACACAGCACTGGTGTCTGGGAAGAGCTGGGACCAGTGCAAACAGCAGAGCATCCCTCAGGGAGACTGCTCACCCCAAAGGGAATCTGGCCCCAGGACACTGATCTAGCATGACAACCTTTGCCAAAGAGGCCATGGATGGCCCAGTAGATACTAGTGCAGGGAATGCCAGAGGGCGAGTCGAGACACTGATTCTCAGCTACGCTAAAACCTTTTTTCTGACGCGCTGCCAGTGGGAAAGGGACTTGCAGGGTACAGAAAAGCTCACCTGGGGAAATCCTCCATACAATCAACAAGCAGATGTGGATCACTGCTAGAGGCATGTGGAAAAGGGAGTCGAGAGCCCTCCACCCCTACCACACCAGCCTGCTCTGCAGTGGGCTGGGGGGTCCTTTGCAGCGCGATGCTCACTTGGAGCTCCAGTGCGAGGCCCTGACTGCTCCTCACACCATAAGGAAACTCTTCGTCTTGTGTCCCTAGGGGCACTGGTCCTTATGGCATCCCTCCCTCTGTCTTCAGTCCCTGCCATCTCAAGGAAAGGGTCTGCTTTAACAGCCCTGCACCGTTCCTCTGTCCCCAGCAGTGAGGTATCGCAGTGCAGTGGCTTGTGGTCTGATGGTCAGGACTCCTGGGTCCCACTTCCAGCTCTTAGTCTGTCTCCCTGTTTATCACAGGCCAGTCCCTTCTCCTCTTTGTGCTACTCTGTGCTCACCTGTAGCTGTCGCAGATGGGCACCTGTCCAAGAGGACCGACGAGGTATTGATACTCAGCTCTTTACAGTTATTAGGGCCCAGGTAGGGCAGCTCCCTCTGGAGACCTCTCTTCTCTGCAGGCATCTTTAGTGCTGCTTCACTGCCCCTCAATGGGCTCGCATCCCCTTTGTACGGACAAACAAGGGCCCTGTCTGTGTCTGGCTGCGTCGGCCTCTGTCGCCTCGCGCTGCCTCTCTCCCGCCTCCAGATTCTGGTGCACGGGCTCGTTGGACAGAAGCGGTATTGTGCGCCGCGTTTCAGAGCTAAGGTTTCACTCCGCTGCCGGGCCTTAATGACTCCTGATGGTCTCATCGCCTCCCCCCCACAGGCCATCTTTCCGAGAGCTTGTCTGGGGAGAAGGGAGGCTGAGCGTGGGCTGCTCCGGGGCTGGACGGTCAAACCCCTGCCCTTCTGTGTCTCTCCACGAGGCTTTTTCTTCCAGCTATTCCCTCTTGCATTCTTTTTCTCACATCTTCAGTCTCTCAGATGTGTTTTTCTTCTATCCTTTCCTTCTTTCACATTACCAGGGGTCTCACCATGGCAGTAGGCGATTTCCCTGAAATCCAGCTGTGTTTTCTTGTCTCTCTCTGCTGGGTTCTCTCATCCCCCCACCCTTCCCTTTTTGATGTTGTCCCTTGGCCATAGTACTTGAGTTTCTCTTGCAGAAACAGAGAAGTCACCTGGAGAGCCTACATGCTCGCTTCCTCCCAGGAGAAACCAGCTCATTGAGATCATGAAGGGTTAGGATCTGGAATTGCCTCCCTGCAACACTGCTGTGCCCTGCCTTGTCTCTTCACCCCCTGCTTTCTCTTCCTCCTCCGGTGCTGGTCCATCTCTGCATGGCACGCCTGGGACTGTCGGTCTCATGCCAGCTGCCCAGACCAACCCCACTTTGATACTTCAAAGAAGAGTGAACTCGTCCGAAGAGCCTGACATCTGAGCGCGTGTAGGACGTGTGCTGCCATCCTGCTCTCCCCACTGAGGAAAGGAGAGAGACCAAGGCTGAGACTGAAAGTGGGCTCCTTAGCCCATGTTAGATCCTGCATGGCAGTGAGCTCTCGGGGAACCACAGGGCTTTTGCAAATCAGGCCTTGCTTATATAGGTGGGTAAAGGACAGTGAGACTGAAGAGTGCGCAGCAATTTTTAGCTGCATCTTGGCCAAAAGTCCCCTCGCCCAGAAAAATCCCCCTTCAGTTAGTCCTGAGCACCCCAGGGTGAAGAATCCCTGGGCTGGACGACTGAGGACCCTCCTTCCTCGCTACCGCCCCAGCACAGCAGTCACTCGGATGCCTTGCAAGAACTGGGTCCCTGGGGAAAGGTCCCTGAGAGGCTGCATCCCCTCCTGACCTGAGCAAAAGGGTCCCTCCACTCCAGGGCCTGCTAGAGGAGGTGACAAGGCTGGTTAGGAAGGGAACCAGCAGTTCAGTGAATACAGCCTTGGACTAGGACCCGGGAGACATGGCTGCAGCTCTGACTTGGGTGATCGTGGGCAAGTTGCTTCCCCTCTTGGTGCCTCAGTTCCCCCCAGTGTAATAGGAGGATGGTGATAGCGACTTTGCATTTAAAGTGCTTTACGATCTACTGAAGTGCAGTGAGTATTATGTAACTGCTAAGGGTTGCTATTATTTATTCCAAGTCCCTTCCTATGAGTCATTCCAGATCAAGGGGGAAAGGTGAGACATGGCAGTCGCCTGGAATTCAGTGGTTTGTTGTGTGTTCAAAGGAATGGGTTACCGCTGAGCGGAGAGCTGTGGTTGGCGTGTTTTCAGAAACACTCGGCTTGAGAGCAGGTGCCTTTTGGCGTGTGGCATCTTACAATGCGGCATATTGTTCTTGTGGGTCCTTTCTGTAGAGGCCCAGCCCAAAGAGCCCACTTAGAGCTGGACTTGGTGCTCGTCGGGGTTCGGGACTCCTGGGTTGTGCGCCTGGCTCTGGGGGGCAGCTTGGTTAGAGAACCCCTGGGCAGAGAGCTGGGGGCAAGCACCTCCTTCCCCTGGGTCTCCCTGGCGCATCAGTGACATGGGGATAATGCACTCTCCATAATCCGATGCATTTAAATTGTGAGCTTGTTGGCACAAAGCCTGCCTCTTCGTATCTGCAAATATATCACCTTGTGCAGTAAGAATTCCAAACAACGTACCTGCAACACCTTATGTGGCATTTTTCATCAGGGTTCCTCCAGACAGCGCAGCAGATAGAAACCACATCACCGGGGACAGTCCTGCGACCCTCCTATAACTCTAGGCTCTGAGTCTGGCCAGGGAGCTGTTATGAGGCAGTTATTTGTGCTGTGGGGCCCAGGGCAAGCCTTTTAATGCCCTGTGCCTCAGTTTCCCCTCTGCAAAATGGTAGTAATATGACCCTCCCTGCATACAATGTTTGAGATACTTGGCTGCTGAGTGCTAGGGCAGGGCAGGGGGGTATTCCTGTGGCCGAGGTCCAGCGGCCACCTGCCTTGTTGTGGTCCTATCCTTTTCATCTCTCTCTCTCAGCCTTTTCTCTGTGCCTCGGGAGGGGGTGTGACTCAGCCCACGCCAGCACCATGGCGTCACGCATCGGCCTGCGGATGCAGCTCATGCGGGAGCAAGCCCAGCAAGAGGAGCAGCGGGAGCGGATGCAGCAGCAGGCCATGATGCATTACATGCAGCAGCAACAGATGCCAGTAGCACCCACACCGGCCATCAACACTCCAGTCCCCTTCCAGTCGCCGCCATCTGTGCCAGGAGAGGTCTTAAAGGTACAGTCTGCGCTGGGTCGGTGTCTTGTCCCTGAGGGGGCTCATGTTGGCAGTAGTGTGTGCCAGTGCTAACAGGTGTCCTTCCTAGGTTCAGTCATACCTGGAGAACCCCACCACGTACCACCTGCAGAAGTCGCGGGACAAGAAGGTCCAGGAGTATATCTCCGAGACATACGGGAACAAGTTTGCTGCTCACATCAGCCCAAAGCCTCCCCCAGCCGCCTCGCCTGGGGTGAGGCCCAGCCATGTTATGTCATCTTCAGCAGGCAACAGCGCTCCCAACAGCCCCATGGCGATGCTCAACATTAGCTCCAACCCGGAGCGGGAGGTAAGGCAAGGGCTGGGAGTCGTGGAGCAAGCAGGGTGAGGAGGGGAGAGGAAGGGTAGAGTAGAGAAATGGCATGTGGTTGTCCCAAGTCTCTTCAGCCAGGATGGACACTAGGGAATAGGGTAGAAGCTCTGGTTGGGGGAGCTGACAGCTATTGCAGTCCTGGCATCCCCCAGCATGAAGTGCTCTAGTGAATGGTGATCTGCACCCTGGCTGCAAGGAGGCAAACACACGGCCCAGTCTTGGCCTCTCTCGGCAGTCAGGAGCAGGGCAGGAGAGCTGGGCTGTGCTGCAGAAAGTGTTGTAGGAGGTAAAGGACTTCTGGGATAGGCCATCATCGAGCAGGACAGAGCTACTCTTGTCAGAGTTAGGAAGTCACCCACTGAGCTGCAAGAAACTTCTCACTTTGCAAGAGACTTTTGCCCAGTGATGTCACGGCCCTGGCTGTGAGACTTATCGCAACGCAACTTTGTCTTTCAGATAGATGAGGTCATTGATGACATCATGCGTTTGGACGATGTTCTGGGCTATATTAATCCAGAAGTGCAAATGCCTAACACCGTGAGTGTCTCGTTCTTGTCTTGCCCTGACTCTGGCGATATCGGAGCTATCCTGCTAAGGGACAGTTAGAGCAGATGCACTTCTGCAGTCCCTGGTGACTGCTGTGGTCCTGGGGTGAGGGGTAACTGAGCTTCTCTGGCCGAGGGGAAGCTGCAGAGGGCCTGCTGCAGACAAGATGACCCTATTCCACGCAGACCGTGGGTTTAATTGTCAGTGGCTCTGCATCCTTTACATTTCTCCAGCAAGGGGGTTCCTTCAGTGTTATGTATCTGGGGTAACTGGTCCATGCTGCCATTGGTCACCCTTGGCCATGAGACCCATGGCTAGGCAGAAACAGCATAGCTTGAGCATTGCCCACTGCAAGAATGACCTCCTGGGGCTGTGCAGAGCTGAGTGTAAGTTAAAAATGGCCACATAGGCTGATCTGAGATGCACCAAGGGGTGGGCAGATTCCTGGCTGCCCCCAAATTAGGGGGAGGATCACGGGAAGCATAGAGCCAACTTCCCCTCTCCCCGTCCCAACCCAGTTCCCGTCCTGAGCAGAGCTCGGCTGGGATGGAGCAGAGGGCCCCATCTCTCCAAGGGTGGCGACCCAGCATCGATTGCTGGTATTGACTGTCAAAGCCATAGCTCAGGCTTTGCTTGCACAGCCTGCGTACGTCAGTGCCGGCTCCTGCCTGGCACGGCGCCATGTACTCAGTGGGAAATCATGCATGATTGTGTGTGTACAAACTGGCCGCGCCTCCCTCCCACTGTGTCAGCCCTGTCGTTGTAGTTGTTGTTGCCGCATAGTAAGTCTAGTCTGAGCTAGCTGGAGCCTGCGCTGGAGACAGTAAACATTGGACTGGCCTGGCGGGTGAGGGAGGAAGCAGTGAGGTACCTTAACACCTGGCTTCTGGTCTCTGAGCTTCCTGGTTAGTAATGAGGTTTCTGCGGCCTGCCCAGGAGCCGGGAGGTGTAAGATGTTAAGATTATAGATTTCTTCTAAGGTCAGAAGGGACCATTACAACCGTCTGGTCTGGCTGCCGGCATTGCATAGGTGGGAGGCTCTCACCCCGTGAGGCTTGTGTCAGAAATAAAAGATGATTAGGGGGAAAAGCCTTTCAGTCTTGATTTCCAGAAAGCAGATCCTGGTATGTGATGCCTCTCCTCCCCGTTTCCCCCCACCTGACACGTGCTCTCAGCACAATTCGGACCACGTGAAGAACAGAAAGTTGTTGCCTGAACTCCACAATTAACAGAGAATTGCCAACTATTGGCTTAGGCACTGGAGTCTCTTCTTCATTCAGCCACTGTGTGATTATGGACAGGTGTCTCCCTGGACACCGTTGCTGTGCCTCAGTTTCCCCATCTGGGACAAGGCTACCTCCATTCCCAGAGCTTGCTGTGAGGCTTATGTAATGTGCATTGAGCTCCTGCCCTTGGCTGTTGCGGACACCCCAGCCAGCAAAGGATAGATGGACCGATTGATGTGTAGCCACCCCCTCCGCTTCTCTCGCTCTGTGAAAATGAATCGCACAGCAGTGCAGCTTGTGAGCACTTCCCAAACACTCAGGCTGGCTGCTTCAGTGGGGCCTCGGGGAGTTAGCGCCTGATTCCCAGTGAAAGCCAGTCTCTCCATGAGAAGATCCCAGCCTGGTGAATGAATCCTAGTGCTTGTGGAAGGCATTTCCTCCACACACACACACGCCAAGCACTGTAGGAAGATAAGTAGCTTTCTCCCCGTCTTGCAGCTGAGGAAACAGGTGCAGGGAGGAGGTGTGAACAGCACGGCACTCCCAGACTGCTTAGCGAGCTGGTCTGGCATTGCACTCCTCATTTCCAGGCAGGGAAATTGAGGCTTAACTGGCTCCCCTCAGGTCACATGGATAGTCAGTGTTAGAGCAGGGAAGAGACCCCGGGAGCTGCCAGCCCCTTCAGTGGCACCTTCAACCTACTGGTCTGCGTTGCTCTTGTGATCTAGAGTCTAACTGTCCTGATAAAACTTTCAAGCTTCCCTCCTCCTCCTCCTCCTGCTCCACATGGACCAGAATTGACCAGTCACGTATCCCCTTGTTTTTCAGCTGCCGATGTCCAGCAGTCACATGAATGTGTATAGTGGTGACCCCCAGGTGACGGCCTCTCTGGTGGGCGTCACCAGCAGTTCCTGCCCTGCCAACCTCACTCAGAAGAGAGAAATGACAGGTACGTCTGAGGACTCACATGGCTGCCAGTGCCTCGGTCAGGGCCGGATCCTGCTTTGACTCTGGTACCGTGTGGGTGATGGCAGAATGCAGCGCAGAGGGCTCAGGGTTAGGCCCTCGGGGGCTGTGTGTTACCTGTACAGTGTGTCTTGGACACATGGCTCCATCACAGATGGGGGCCGTTTACCATGACTTGTTGGGTCTCTGTTACAGATGCTGAGAGCCGTGCCCTGGCTAAAGAGCGTCAGAAGAAGGACAATCACAACCTGAGTAAGTGGCTGGTTCCTTCCCACTGCAGGTCTGCGTCTCCCTCACTAATTCTCATCAGACCATTCTTTTCCTAATGACCTTCATGCTCTTCATCTCTTTGAATAACAGTTTCTACCTCAGAGCTCCCAAACCCACGCAGTCTCAGCCTGGTGAAAGAGAGATCCATATGGCTTATTGGAGCCTGGCTCCATTTAATCCAAAATCCTGTCTCTGACAGTGTCCAACACTAGATATTTCAGAAGAATGCAATAGAAACATTATTATTACTAGTACCGCTACTTATTTGGTCTTGCGGTAGTGTCTAGAGGCCTTTGGTCATGGACTCAGGATCCCAGAACAATGAGGTGTTTCCAGAAGCCAGAGAGCTTCCAAGCTGAGTCAGATGATACGGTCCATGCTGGGCTATAATGGGATTACCTGTTCTCAGGGGATGTTCCTTCGTGATCACTGTCCATTAGAAGTTAGCTAGAGCCCTGAATCATGAAGGTTTGTATCCCTTATACATCTGCACCCTTTCTAATAGGACAGGCTTTTCTGTTTGTTTAAATATTTCATTCCCTGTTTAAAACATGCTTAGTTCCTCATCTCTGGGGTTTCCTGTGATAAACAGCATCTTAACTCTCCTTGGTCTTACCTAGACCCTCCTGTATCACCCAGTGCTCTGAACCGCCTGTCTCCCATCAGTTGTAGCCCTACAAGCTTATTTTCCCCAACGCCTGTTTAAACCACCTACAACGCATCCTCGAATCAAAGCCATTTCTGTGCTACCGAAAACCTCCTCATATATTTTGGACATTGATTCCCAATTGCTCTGGATTTATGGAATCAATCCTGTGTGAACTAACTCCAGGACTGGCCCATCAGCGTGGCTGGATGATGCAAATAAGTCAGCTCCTGCTAGTCCTTTCATCCAAGGCCTGCTGAGATGTACAAGGCAGAAGACTGTCCCTTAGGAATGGGGAATTCATGCCATTAACCTGAAGCAGGCTGGGGTCAATGGGGACTGAAACAATGACCAAACTTCAGAGCCTTGGGGCCTTTCTCTGTAGCTGGTCCCACATTCCCGAAACTTAACCAGTGTTCATCTTTCTTATCTCTTTCCTTCCTTGTAGTTGAGAGAAGGCGAAGGTTTAACATCAACGATCGCATCAAAGAACTTGGAATGCTGATCCCCAAAGCCAATGACCTGTAAGTATTGCGAAAAGTGACAGTTTCCTCATTTCTGGGCTGCCTCACAAATATTTGACGGGTGCACAGCAGAGGAATGAATAAGCATTGTCCCAGGTGGAGAAGCCAGGTGTTAAGGGGGGGGATGAAATTTGGCTTTGTTCTACACACACTTTGTGGATCAGTGTAAGGGTGTCAGTTAGCAGTTTGACCATTTGCACCAATATAATGTTATCAGGAATATGTTGCAGGGTGGGGACCCATGTGGCCTCTCTGGGACTCAGTGCAAGATGGAAGTCTGCCATTGGGATGAAGATTGTCCAGTGGAGCATTTATTCCAGGGAAATGATTAATATTTAGGACATTTAAAATGTGATCATGCAAAGTACTTGAGAATTCATTGGGAGAGCAGTCATGTCCTGGCCACAGGATGGACTAGACATCTTGCTCAGCTTCCTGGTAACAGCAGGTTACTCTTGTGACTGGGCAGATTCTGTTTTACACAGACTCCTGTGGGAGGTGTCATTCCTTTGGCTGATCTGCCAGTGGCATGGGCAGGCGCCTGGTGCAGTGTTGGCATCCAAATGATAATTCAGGTCATTAAACTTGCAGGGGGCTTTGCACTAGAGCAGGTCTCTTCAGGAGGCATCTGAGGCTGGTTGGGAGGTGCAGGCTGTCACATCTTCTCCTTGCCACACCCCAGGGATGTACGCTGGAACAAAGGGACCATCTTGAAGGCCTCTGTTGACTACATCAAGAGGATGCAGAAGGACTTGCAGAAGTCACGGGATCTGGAGAATCACTCTCGGCGCCTGGAGATGTTGAATAAGCAGCTCTTGCTCCGTATCCAGGTAGGTCCTCATCTGCCCTCATCAAATCTAGCCAGGGAAACATGTCAGCAGTTTTGCTTCTCCCCTTTCCTAGAAGATTTGGTTTAGGTGCTTTTCCCTCTTTAAGACTGTGAAACTTCAGAGCAACTTCACTGACATCAGTGCAAGTCCCTTCAGAGTTACAGTGGCACAGCAGAGATGGGACTCTGGCTGTCTGAGCTGCACATGTACCCATGACCTCAAAGAAGGTTGGATCTAGTGAGAGTCCCATTAACTTTGGTGGGCTTTGGGTCAGGCCCATAGCAAGGCTGCTTGGTCTAGCTATAACTTGCTCCTGATCAAACTTGCTGCAGATCTGATCCCACACAAGCTAGTTCAACAAGCTAGAGTTGGGGATGGTCCTGCTTTGAGCAGGAGGTTGAATTAGATGACCTCCTGAGGTCCCTTCCAACCCTAACTTTCTATGAGTCTATAATCAGACTTGCGGGGAAAGGTTGAATGACCTAGGGTTATTTAGTAGGGCTGTGCGAAGCTTTGGGTGGCGATTCGATTCAGAGGAGATTTGACTCTGAGCTGCAAGGAGATTTGACTCTGAGCTGGTAAATACTAGGGGAGGTGGGGCTGGGGGAGGGGACCATGGGGGGACCCCTGCTAGCCCTCCCAACCCCCCCACTCTCCTAAAAAAAGCCCCGACTCACCGGGTACTGCCAGGTGGAGGGGCGATCCTTGCTGCCCCCCACTGCCCCACACTGCATGGGGGGCTCTGCCAGAAGCCCCCTGACCCTCCCCCTGCTCCCCCATGGGTGCCCCACCTGGGCCAGCTCCAGCCCATGGGGGTGATAACAGTCTGCAAATACCTGAAGGATGTGATTACAAAGATGGAGATGAGCCTCAGGGGATAGGACTAGGAGCAACAGCCTCAAGTTGCAGTAGGGGAAATTTAGGCTCGCGATTAAGAAGAACTTTTTGACTATAAAGGTAGTCCAGCATTTGAATAGGTTACCTGGAGAAGTTGTGAAATCTCCATCCTTGGAAACTTTCAAAAGCTGGCTGGGATGGGTTGTCAGGGCTGATGCTGTCTTGAGCAGAGATCTGGACTAAATGACTTTGTGAGGTCCCTTCCAACCCTACTTTTATGATCCTGCTCACATGAGGGGTCCCCATTGACATCAGCGGGGCTGGTTGTGTGAGCATGGTTACCATGGTCAGCCAGTTGCCTAGGGCTCATCAGGAGCCGGCACATCTTGCAGGAACTGGAATAATGAGCTGTCATGGGTGATATCATACGTGCCACAAAGGATACGTGCAGCCCAGGGTGTGCCCTTGGGGGCAAGGCTCACTCTATAATTAGCTGCCTTGACTGTGAGCAGGATCCTTTGGACCAACAGAGCATTTTCATGCTGGGTTTCCTTATGGTAGGCTCTGAGCTCATATCTGGGCCCCTTAGAGACATCTCAGGGGTGTAACTATGGATTCAGGAGACTAGCAAGACCTTCAGACTGGAAAAGCCTAACCTGTGGCTTTGTGTGTGCCCAGTGCCTCTTGGATGGGGGATCCTCTGTCTGGCTTTGGCAGGCAACCTCAGTCAGCTGGCAGTAAAGCCCAGAGCCCTGCAGCCAGCCGTGTTTGCCTTACCTTCTCCCTGGATTTCTGCCCAGTGTGTAGTTTGGGTTTATGAAATAACAGTGCTGACAGAGAGGGAAGCCTGTTAGAGCTCAATATTGGCAGTGACGTGGTTTTTGCCTCAGCCTCTTCCTCAATTTCTCTTTTCCTGTGAGCCTCTCTCTGTCTGGCCTTTTATCTGTGTGGTTTCCTGCCACTCCACGCCTTTGCCTCTCTCAACCTCTCCTTATACTTCCCTCTGCATCCCCTGCAGTCTGTACCTCCCTGCCTTGCCCTGTCACTAGCTTGGTCCCCAGGATGGTTACTTGCTGCAACGCTGGTGTCCCTTGCCCTTTGTTTTAGGTGGCTTTGCCATGTCAGGTTGGCTGCAAGGGCTCCCCACAGAGCATTAGTGTAGGTGAGATGGTTTCAGCTCCCTCCCATTCGGTTTATGTCTCTGCTGCCTCAAATAAGGATTCCTGGCTTGCGTGCTCTGCCCCACAGGAGCTGGAGATGCAGGCTCGCATCCATGGGCTGCCAACCTCCTCACCCTCCGGGGTGAATGTGGCAGAACTGGCTCAGCAAGTTGTGAAGCAAGAGGTCAGCAGAGGAGAGGATGGGTCGACAGAGCCTCAGCAGCGTCAGCCGCATCCTGACCAGGAGACACAGCCACAGCCATCCCTCCCGCCACCACCTCAGTCTCCTTACCACCAGCTGGACTTTACCCACAGCCTGAGCTTTGACGATGGCCCCAGCGGGTTCCATGACCAGCTGGACCCTGGCCACAACGCCTCCTTCCCTTCTCTATCCAAGAAAGAGCTGGACTTGATGCTGATGGAGGACACCATGCTGCCCCTGGCTTCTGACCCTTTGTTCTCTGCCATGTCTCCCGAGGCCTCCAAGACCAGCAGTCGCAGGAGCAGCTTCAGCATGGAGGACACAGACATGCTGTGACGAGGAGCCACTCGGACACTGGGGAAAAGGACTAGGAGTAAGGCCTGTTTGTGAAGACACATCCTCACCCAGGAGGCCCCTGATCAGCACTTGAGTCTACACCTCTCAATGCAAGGGTGGTAGCAGCTCAAAGGTTTGTTGGGAGAACAAGACCTTAGTTGCTATAACTACATCTTGCCAACGTGCCATTGACTGAGCAGACCTCCTTGGCTTGCCGTGGCATTACAGTGTTGAATGCAGATTGACAGCACCGCTCCAGAGAGCAGATCCTCAGCTGCCTTGCTTTTCAGCTAAACTCCCTGCAAACCTCGCACCCTGCAAGGGGTGGAGGCTGGAAACCAGTGTGAGGAGTCCCTCTGAAGGGAACAGGGGGGCTTTGATGCTCAGAGCTTCCCTCTGTGATTGTCCATCCATCCAGGCTTTGGCACAGGAACCTGTGCCCCCTCAAAGTCTTCCCAAGCCCTGTATGCTGTTCCCTTCTGCTGCTGCTGGCAATGGCTGCCTCGTGGCACCGTCCCATGTTGGGATTCCTCTTCCCTTCCCAAGCAGGGATGCCTAGTATATCTGAGGGGAGGGCATGGTGCTCTTGGTCACCAGGGTGCCTGGAGGCACATTTCTCAAGGTGCATTGGATAAGAAATCGGGAGGGAGAGGAGGGGACTGATCTGAGTAAATTCTCTAATGGTCACGTGCATTTTCAAAGTTGGGAGCCCTGACTTTGAGAACGTACTTGTGATGACTGCCAAGGTACCGCTGTGCTGGGCCTATCTCCAGTGAACCCCTAAATCTCAAAGCGCCGTTTGGTCGAAGCCACCAATGTGCCTGATTTACAATGAGAAATTGCTGAAGTTATCTGACCCTGGCCTTTGGTTCTGCACCAGCACTGGTGGGTGCCCACCATTTGGCATTCAGTAATGCCTAATTTAGCTGGCACTCTCAAATGTCACTTTAAGATTTTGGGTTTCATGTGAACTGAAACTTGGAGGGGTGGGAGGGTAGGGGGGTGGGGGGTGGGGATGTGTGTGCAAACCTTCACGATGAACCAAAACTGCAAACAGGCTTTTGCCTTCGCCCCTGTGCACTGAAACCCCTTGGTTTTGGGCAAGAATCTCGCTCCCATTAAACTGTTGCCAAAAGCTAGCAAGCCAGAAGGCAACTCCTAACTTCTAAATAACCAGATCAGATGCCCTCAGTGTACACCTAGACCCCTTCTTCAGCTGAGACGCTTGTTGAAGTCAGTGGGCCACATCCTGAATGGCTTGGAGTGCCCTCTGCTTCCCCTGAAATCAAATAGTCTTGTCTTTACCAAGGTATGTTCCTTTGTTGTCTTTTCTTGTCCATTATTCAGGCAAACCCCCCCAGAGAAGCCAGTGGGAGATTTTTGCCTGGGTAGTGGACCTCTGGGATGTTCTGACCCAAGAGGCCTATTGATGCCACTGATACTTGGAAAAAGCCAGGTGCCCTGGATCGCAACACCCTCTGGTGAAATGTCCCTGTGATAAAATTGTTATGCCCTAGCAAAGGCAGCCAGGGGTGGAGCAGGCTAGATGGAGAGTTTGGGGGGTGAGGGACGGTTAGGGAAGATGGTGGGGATTTTAATCAATGTAGTTTTGAGCTCTTTGGTCCATAGATGGAATTGTTCATGCTCCTAGAACGCGGGTCTAGTGCATCACACGCCCTTTCCCTTTTCTTAGCTCTTGCCCACAAGGCTGACTCTGTGGAGGAGACAGGACCTCTCTTTGCCACTAGTGGAAACTCAGTGATGGCATGAGTGATGTGGGAGAAGCTAGAACCTGGTGTTCAAATCTCACGTGGTTCCTCATTGGGAGGATGATTTGATGGTTGTAACAGTTACCAAAATCTTAGCCACAGCTTTCTGCCTTGGGTATCTAAGAGCAATTTCCTCTCTCCCCTTCCCCTTCCTTCCCAAGGTTGTTCATTTGGCCTGATGATGAGTGAAGCCACCAGGGAGTGTCTTTGCACGGTTAAGTTGCTGAATGGTATTCTGTTTCCTCCAGACTGTGACAACAGCGCACTCACGAAAGGAATTGGGGTGGAGTGGAGAAGGCAGGGGGAACGCTTTATTTAAAACAAAGCACTGCAATTGCAGTATTCGGTCCCAAGAGTCTGAAGGGCATGGGGGGAATCCCTTTGTAATAATATTGCTACCTTAAACTCCGGTAACTGTCCAACATGTGGCGGCAAGGCTCGGCAAGCTGTAGCGTTTTAGATTCGTTCCTGGAGAATACTACAGTTCATAGCAATGAGGCCAAGCTGAAGAGTCTGAAGTTCAGGGGCATTTGGATCAATGGTTGTATTTTATTCTCCACCTCTAGCTCCGAGCCTGTACTGAGAACCTCATGGATGGGACCCCTGCACCCGCAATAGTGTGATCAGGATATACAGTCATAAGGGAGAACTCAGCCTGCCGGCCCACTAAGAAAAGAGCTTGCTATCAGTGGGAGAATAAGGACCTGGGGGGAAATGTGACTGCAAGGCACCCAGGTCTGTGTGGGCAGCGAGGTGGTCACAAGTGGATGGACGTCTGCTTAGGTTGCAGTGAGAAGTGCCAGTAGGCAGTCAAGTCAATGAGAAGTACCAGTAAGAAGTCAAGTTTGCATGTGATGATAGAGACAGGTGAGAGGGTGAAGGAGGAAGAGAGAGTAAGCAGCATTTTCATTTCCTGAGAGGGGCAGTCCCCAGCCCTGACAGGAGAGCCAGCACAAGCAAGAGGAAAGTCCCTCACTTATGTTGCCTTGCTCACATATTAGTGGTTTAGCAGGAGGGAGAAGGACTAACTATTGTTGTGACGGGGAGATAGCAGGGGGCTTTTCTTGCACACATTGCTGGCTGAAGTGCAGAGGTTTTGGCAAGGAGGCAGGATTTTGGGTTGGTCTTTAAGTGAGACAGGCCTGTGGGCAGGTGTCTGGGAGTGGTGGCTGGCTGCAGGCATGTCTGTATTACACCAACACTTTGGCTTCCCTTACGTGCCATTCCTGTGTGCCTGTGAATAGTTCTTCAGAGCAGGACTACACAGCTCTGTTGACTTAGTGCGGGGATGCCTACATGGCAACAAGGCAGCCCCATGCAGATACCAAGCTACTTCTGAAGCCACTAGCTGAAATACCAGAAGCAGCACTGCTGCTTTAGCCTGCTGCCCCACTCAGCCTGCTCTACTGTGTTTTTCAGCAAGGTCCTCCTTCAGAGCTAGCTTGGGTGTCGTGGCACGGCACGGTGCCATGGAGGTGTACCCTAAGTATCGGTTTTCTCCAGAGCAGCTACCATAGACCCCATGGATGCTACAAGTGTCTGTGTAGTTGTACTCCCTTGGTGTACCATGCTGTTGTACTCCCTTGAAATTATGGGTGAGCATAAGGCATCCAGTGCAGCAGAACCAAGGATCATTTGAGACGTGTTAAGTGCTTTTGATGCCCTGTACGTTCTCGGAGCCGTGTGGATGACAGCTGAGGTCCAGCAGACGCTGGACTCGCAGCGTGGAATCGATGTGGCTAAAAGGCTCCAACAGGTAGCGACGAGGGAGTCTGGGAAGGCTTGGGGAAGTATTACCAAGGAGTTATAGCAGGAGGGGTTGGTGGAGCCATGCCCCATGGGACAAGAGCCAGGGTCCAGGATACCCTGATGGTGGCGTGGCCAGCTGGCTGAGAGGAGCCTATGTAGGCAGGCCCAGCGTGGTTTGCAGCTCCGACCTTCCCGTGAGGGCTTAGCCTTGCAGAGACTGCCCAATTCAAATCCAAAGCTCTTTCTGTGTTTATAACTGTGCACTATATGCAGCATGCTTCAGCACACGCAGGATACAGTATATAGTGTGCATTAGGCCGTGTGCTTGAGTGGCCGTGGGACACGGTATATACTAGGCATGGGCACAAACAGGGCTCTCCAGCACGTCAGTGTGAACCGTCAGCCTCTTTTTTTTTTTCCCCCCCTTGAGATCTGGAACCGTTAGTATACCTGCAGCCTTCCTGTCATTGGCTAGGACAGGAAGCGATGTGATCCCATGTGAGATTTTTCCCAGCAGTGTCTTCAGTCATGTCAAAAGCCAGGATGAGAATGTGTGACATCTTAGGATTTCTGGGCTGACGAACCCAGCAGTCTCAGAAAAAGTACGTGAAGTTGTGATTTTTGGGTGTCCAAAGAAGGACACCTGAAAGGAACTAGATTTTCAGGCAGTGCTGGGCAACCATCCTCTGAAAATCAGGCCTCTTTAAAGTGCCTTCAGTTGGGCACCTAAAATGACTCGTTCCTTTGGAGCATCTTAGCCAGAGAGACTTCTTGAAGTGCCCTAATCAGCAATCTATACCGTGGCGCAGTGTGCTTGATTGACTGTGCATTGCAGTGCGTGCTGTATGCGACACGGAGTCAGTGCCTACCCCATACAGCCCATGCTGCACGCAGCTCATGGCTATCGGGCGTGGGATATCCCACGCCAGGACCCCCTGCTTCCGCCTGCGTGAGTGGCAGGGTGTTTTCCATGCTGTGAGGTAAAATAGTCATGGATTTTTTTTTTTTTTAAATCTTTTAGGTTTTTGTTGTTTTTTTTTTTTAATGCACTGTGTTTTGATTAAAAAATTTTACTACTGTTTTATAAATAATTGTACAAAAGAATGAACTGGAATGGGTAAAAAAAATTATTAAAATATATTTATTTACAACCTATCAGCGAATCATATTTTTTTTTCCGGGGGGAGGAGGGCAGAGATGACGACAGTCCCTTGCTTTCCCACCGTGTCTTTCATCCCAGAGATCTCCAAGCGCTTGGTTTAGGCAAAATGGTATCTTTATGCCCATTTTTCAAGTGGAGGAAGCCGAGGCACAGAGCAAAAAAGTGACCTTCTCAAGGTCATAGGTGGCCAGGATATTTTTAAAAGGGCACAACTGGAGCTGGAGTTTCAGCAAAGCTCAGCTCTTAATTTAATCATCCAACTAAGCATCGATGTTTTCAAGAAGAGCCTGTTTCGGGTGTGGAGTTGTGCTGACAATCTGGCCACGTGAAGGTCACCAAGGGGGTACTGTTGGCGTCTAAAAGACATGGTTCTTGTGTATGTGCCTAGATGAAAGCTCTTAAGTTTCTGAAAGTTTGTCCCTTTCCCTGTCGTTTTGAAAGACCCCAATTCTGAGTCTCCGGTTCTCTGGACATATTGCCTGTTGACAAGCCAGCAAGGGAGACGCTATAAAAAATCTGCTTGACTGCCCTAGAGTAAAAGAGGTAAGTCAGGAAAATAAGGACATTGCAAAGAAGTTAAACCGGCCTGACCTGGAATATTGTGTTCAGTCCTGGTCACGCTGTATGAAACGAGATACAGCGGGGCTAGAAGAGGTTCGGAGAAGGGAGGGGAAATGATCAGAAGTCTAGTGAGGCCTGTTTAGGAAGCGAGATGGAGAAGACGGGACCTGGCTGGCTTGCAGAGGAGATGACCCAAGTGCGTGAAATAAGGACTGAATGAAAGAAGATAAACCGCATGTTCCTACTCTACCGTTCTCGTCACGCAAGAACAAGCAGCTGTTGACAAGGTTTGAAAGGTAGCAAACCGGGCATTGGTACAAACAAATGCTTTTATTTTTTAACATGGCCCATGTTTTAACCTGTGGAACTCATTGCCAGGGGGGACTGAGGCTGAGAAGGCCTTGTAGAAAGAATAAATCAGTATTATACTGACCCACTTGTTTACACCTCCTCTACCCTGCCTCCCGCAGTCCTGCCCATCTGTGCCAACTCCCCTAAACGAGGCAATGTACCCATTTGAGAGCAGCCTTGAGCACATACCTCAGTGCTGCCCTTCTTTTTGGGCATTTTTACTGAGCTGCTCCAAGATGGCAACATCACCCCACTTCTGGGATCTGGTGAATGGGGGAGGAAGGTGTTTCCTGGCAGCAGTGCAGACATGCTTTTGCAATTATGTAAGATAAGGGATCTGAAGGCTCCTGGTTCAGGGCATAAGCCAGCCACTAACAGCTCAGGGTCAG